ATTATAGGAGATTGTATTTCATAGTGCTGTTTAGGAACGGTAAGCTTTCGGATTTTGCCTCGAATGGTACACCATGGTAAACCTGATCGAACGCCATGGTTTTTTCACAGATCTACGTGCCCCAGTGTCTAGTTTCAGAAACTGAAAACCGCTGGTCTCTAGATCTTTTCGTTCCGGAGTTATAAGCGTTTTGTTCACTCATCTTCTATTTTGAAATGGATAGTAGTAAAGTGTCGAACAGTATGGTTTGGTTGTATAACAGAACAATATTGTAATTAATCATACATTCTGGAAGGATAGCTGTTGAATGATGACAACAATTTGTTGTAGAATTCTTCGGAAGAATGGAACTATGTACCTCTTACTTTTCTTGTGCTTAAGTTGTATTATTGTAAGTTTATTTCTATCAATGAGGATTTCTCTCACAAAAACAGCCTGGTTTGAAGGTCAATTATCAGGATTTTCATTAGTAATAAAACAACAAGTTTCAGGTATGAAAAAGTAAAATATACTATCAAGAAAATAAAACTGTTTTAATCTTCGTCGCTTGTTTCCTCACTTCCGTCATAATCTGTAACGTCTGTTTCTTCTGTCCCTGTCTCTTCGGCAGCTTCTTTAATTTCTTTAGCTACTTGTTCTTGTTCGACTGTTGGATCGTTTATTTCTATTAAAGTTGCGTCATCAAATTTGGTGGAATATTCGTGTTGCGGTGCTGACGGTTTTGCCGGTTCAAATGGCTCATATTTTTGGCCCCAACCAACGTACAGATTAATAAAATTTCTGAAAAAGATTAACAGACGATTTTTCTTTTAAATTTTTAGAGTAAACCCAGGTACGTACGCTGACTGTGCCAGTGTAAATGCACCCGGCCATACATTCGATCTCAAATAGCACAGTGCATATTCATGCATAACATTCAATGTCAACCCAACTGACCATAGTTTTTGTTTGTCTCTCATGTAAGGAAGTTCTTTGTCTTCGTTAATCGGTTGTAATAATGGTGCTGGGATTTGAATTTCGTCTATCTCTGTTTGTTCATTTTCTTCATCTTCTTCGCTCACATCACTTAATGACTTTTCTAAATAAAAGAGAAAAATGGAATTATCCTCAAAAAGCTCTCTCAAACTATTTGCTTTACCAGGCTTCCAGAATGATGTTCGACCTTGTGGTAGAATTTCTTGTACATGATGAACCCATCTATCCAACGATTCAGATGCTAGCATTTCCGATGTAATATCGATTGCTTCGTTATCTGGATTAAGTTCGATACCTGCACCTACCAATAAAACAAATAACTTTTAGCTACCATTTTATTACTAAGCTACTTTAGCAACCTTCATCCCTTCCTTCAAACATTTCTTCACCATCCTCTGTGGCGATGAAGTGACCAGCTGGTGCTACATGTGTTGTTGCTGTTATTCGCGCTATTTGTGCACGTAAATAATCTTTTTCGACGCCTTCAAATGGTGGATAACCATTGACTTGAGCTGTTAAACAACCAGTAAATAATGAACGAATTTGTCTTGCTTGTTGAATATAAAGTGGTTTAGCATCAGGTAATTTTTGCCAAGGGAAGCCAGCTAAAATCTTAGAGAAAAATTATTATTTTATTAAAATGCCAAGACTAATCAGAGAGACATACGTGAATTACAAACAAAATATGTAAAATAATTTATTCCCTTCCCTCTTTCTTCAGCTGGAATTTCTAGTGATGGTTGCCACATTGACTGAATTTTGGATTTTTGAGCAGAATTCTAGAACATTTGTTAAAATAATAATTAATTAGCATTTAACGTCTAGAATTATTCTGATTTCTTGTCGAATATATCCGACTGCGATACCGTTGTTGCTGTACGATCTGGATAGATAAACACATCTTTTTTTTTGTACGTTGATTTCATTGTTTTTTCTTGTTTTCCATCAATCATCACTACTGACTTATGTCGTGAATGTTTCTTTCTAGGAAATGGATCGCTGATATCAATTTCATCAGGTAGCACATCCTGTGTGGTAACTAGCTACAATAAAGATTCATGACGGTACTTAAAGCTGATCGTTCTATAACTGAAACTCACTTGAATTATGTAATAATCGCAATAGATACCAAATATTTTTCCCCAAAATTTCATATCTAAATATTCAATCTGATTTTCTAATTTTTTCATTGCTGCCCAGATTCTGGAGGCATACAAAATAGACTTTGTATGGATACATTTTACTTCAAGAAAGAGTATTACTTACAAAATAAATTCACTCATATGCATTCCATATCCAGCACTTGAACAAAAATAGGCAACATCCATCACGTAGGGTACAGATTTAATAACAAAATCATCTGGTTGTAAAAGTTCACGCGATTTTGTCTAGAAAAAAAGTATTTTTCTTTGATGTGCAGTGTTTATTTCTTCGTTTTATACTTTTAATAATTCTCGTTGTAGTAGAGTAATATCCATTTTGGATGATTTTTCATGCGGGTCTCTTAAATACGTTTTTATCATAGTACCTTGTGTATGAGACTTAATATCACGACTTAATTTTTCAAATAAATCCGCCATGTTAACTGATGAATATCGAATGGCTTGTGCTAATATAAGCGATAAATGATCGTATCTAAAAACTAGATTCTGTCATATTCTTCAACACAAAAAAAATATTTGTAGAAATGAGTCCTTATCATACTGTGCACTGTAAAACTAGTAATATATGTGTTAGAACAGTAAGTTTTTCTATTCGTTAGGTTATTAGCTGCCAAAAACCAAAGTCGTTCATATGCACGTACCCAGTAATTGACTATAGATTTTATATTTTTTGAAAAATCTGTCGTTTTTCTTAAACTGCTTCGTTAAAAGTTTTCTGACTCGGCAAGAATGTAGAGCAAATATTTCTCTACAGAATAAAAGGTTGGACAGCTCTTCATCGTTTGTTTTAAGATTTGGGCAGCGATGTTCTATGAACTAACCAAGTACTCAACAAATCATGAAGAGTTGTCAAATCTCTCATTTTGTAGGGGAATATTTGCTTTATTTCCTTGCTGAATCAGAAAACTTTTAACAAAGCAATTTAAGAAAAACGCCAGATTTTTCAAAAAATATAAAATCCGTAACCAATTACCCGATGCATGCTTGATCATTCAGCGTTCTAACAGAGAAAAAGTAACTGATCGCTTACAAGCTAATATCAAGATAACTAGTAGTTTTTAATAGGTAAGCTTTTGCATTTATATAAGCATTTTCATATGCTCCTTGCTCCAATGCCGCTTGATTCTTCAGATACGTATCTAAAGAAGAGAACTAATTTATACACGTATCTATTTCATAACAATAGTCAGATATCTAGTTTTGGCTGGAAGAGAGCTCATATATCGACTGTGAAACACCAGTAGCTAAAACTATGGAGCAAAGCCTCTTGTTTTCCCGGTTTTATAGGGCAGTGAAGCCTTCAAAAGTTCATGCACTACTATTCCATATCCTAGCAGTGATACTTTTTTATTGTGAAAAATCTTGCTTTTTCTTCAACTTACAGCCGAATACAGCAGAATAGTGATTCGCTCAAATTTCTGTGATTCTGAGCGAAAACTGACTCTCTTAGAATCACAGAATATATTGATAGTTTCTGAGTTTGGAATAATGAAGAAGAATATTTACCTGCATCCCATGTAACCCACAATACAATTGGTAATGAGCTATATAAAATGAATTTGAATATATCTGTTTCATCTAATTCACTAATCATAGTGTTATTAACCACCAACAGTCGATCACCACATTTCAAATATTCTAATATTGCATCATTTAATATTCGATCAATAAACCATGAATCTTCAATTTTAATAATATCAAATGGAATTTGTCGTAGACGTTGGGTTATTAGAATAAAACGTATATTCGATATTTGATATAAACTAATATTCATTGGAAGATAAATACCTCAAAACAATGAAAATAAACATGAGTGAACTAAACGTTAACCTCATAGTATTTAAGATGTTTATTTTATTATCCTGAACTATGTACGATGAACTGTGTGAAAATTGGTGATTTATACATATTTAGTGGTATTTTTGTAGATTACGTTTGAACGGGTATGAGAACGTTCATTGTGCGCTACACACCTTGTTCTGTCATTATATCGACAAGTTGTGCGGGTGTTTGAACATTGATTGTGTAAGCAAGAGCCATATCATTCTTATCTTTCAATAGGGATGACCCTTTTTCTCTCATAGACATTCTCAACTTTTTGTAGTGACTGTTTCAAATCAGATTAATTTCAAACTTTCTAGGTTTTGTATTCATAACGCGCGACATGTATGTATAATTAGATTTATTGTGATTGATTGAATGATCTATTTCCACAGTAGGCACTTCTGAAAAGGTTTTGAGTGGTAATGTATTGATACACTCATGCGTCTGTTTTGTGCTATGCTATGTGTAAATCAAACTAAACTTTCTTCTATTCTAGCATGACGTGCAGCGTTTAAATTCATATTTTTAATCTGCAGGTGTGATCATCTGAAAAAGTTGCCTGCTCACTAACTCTGGTCACCAAAATTCAAGGTAAGAAACTTGATGAAACTATTGTCATATTAAATGATTGATATGAAGAGAATCCTTATCCGACTAGTACATAAAAACAATTAGCATCGAAAAAGCATGATTTATCAGTCGAGCGTATATCCTGACGAACTTCATCAACGCACGGATACAAGATACCAACGGTGTGAATTTATATAAAGAAATTGATTATTGAAAAAAAACCGGCATAAAAACAATTATCAAGAATCAAATGTAAAACACAACCGATACTTTTGAAAACATGTTGCACAACAAATTATTTAATATTAGCATGAATCCATGGGAAAAATACCACTTTTCTGGAAAAGTTTTTTTTGGGTTCAATAGATAGCACCGAAGTAGAAAACATATCCGGCCGAAAAAAGCTAGGGACATGTCCATGGAATCCTCGAGATTTTGTCACATATTCCGGTATATGTCTGGCTAGGATCTCGTATGGAGATAATTCAACTAATTCTTCTATGTACCATTCTAGAATTATTAATATCGTATTTTCTAACTGAAATACACATAAAATGAGTTCATCTGTACTCATTTGCGTCTTCCAGAAGGCTCGAAATCAACCTTTGATGGTAAAAAAATATTGTGAATTTCACTGAATAACTATTGTTTCTATAAAGAATAATTTATTTGATGTAAATTTTTTCCGGCCAAAGATGTTTTCTACTTCGGTGCTATCTATCGAACCCAAAAAAAGTACAAAAAAAGAACTTTTTCAAATCATGGTATTTTTCTCATGGATGCACCCATAAATAACTAGAATATTGGAAACATTTGGAAATACTAACATTCAATTAACAAACATCAACATTTGGATATCTATCTACATAAAACGATAATACAGTTCAATAAAAGGACTGATAAATTATATGTTGAACGAAACATGTTTGTCTAGTTGCCGCATTAAATCCACTTTCTGATTTTTTTCTGATTTTGAATTTTTTCATCTGACCACCCTGTTTCGTATCGTTCAAGTAACTATTTATAAAAGAGAGTTCTCTGGGGATCCAGTGCTAACGTCGAGCATGTATCTGTTGCAGTATAAATATATATTTGTAATTAGCCTTGTTGCTTCTAAAAATTGTTTTTAGTCTGCTTGTCTCCATACAATAGTTTGATCTAAATCTACAGCATTCACATTCCATAACCTCTCAAAAATTAAAATGACTTGTATTATTATTATGAAAAACAAAATAAAATACTATTTTATGTACAAAAATAAATAATAAAAACAAACTAACGTTAGAACTCTGTTTCGATCAATGAACAATGTTGACGTGATTTAACATTTTGTCTTAATGCATAAACATCACATACGTATGATTTTGGTATTTTAGAACAAATTAAATGTCCTGATACAACTGTTATCCATTTTTGTTTTTGAATCAATCCATTCGTTTCTAAACATATGACAGTCTCACCATTTTGAACAGAAAAACGACAACCACATGTACAATGATAATTATTTAAAACAAGTAGCAATGGATATTGTTGAGCTAATTGAGCAAAAAAATGTGCTTGAGTTTTTCGTGTTGGAGAACGTGCTGTAGATGATATCGACTTAGCTGAGGGTAAACATGAACGTAATGAATAGCATTTTCTAACCACTTTGGATGATGTAGATTGATAAATGTTTTTCTTTCGTGCTGGAATGACTTGTGTTCTATTCAACGATATTGGTAGTGTTTCATTGCATGAATGTTCTTGGATTATCGTTGAGTTGTTACTACTACATGTCGAACAGGATTTCGTTGGCAAAAAGTAGTTTTCATTTCTCTCAGTACCAATTAACGAACTTCTGCACCGTGCACCCACATGTTGAAGATCATTTGGTTCGAGTATAGAACGAAACGAATTGCTATAGGATGATGAACATGATAATGAAACCGAATTATCTAAAGAATAACTATTGCCAGAGGACGACGTCGATGATACCAGCGATGATCTTGACTGTTTCAATTGATCAATATCAAATATACCAGAATCACTATCATGTGTTATCATCATTTTTGTACGTCGATCTAAATTGTAATAATAGAAACTTGTTAAGGTTCGATCTCACCCAAATATTTAGTTGACTACACTCTACAGTATTGAGAATTCCATATCCTAGCAGTGACACTTTTGTATTGTGAAAAATCTTGCTTTTTCTTCAACTTACAGCCGAATACAGCAGAATAGTGATTCGCTCAAATTTCTGTGATTCTGAGCGAAAACTGACTCTCTTAGAATTCTAAAATATATTGAAAATTTGAGTTTGGAGTAATGACGAAGAATATTTAGCAACATTACTATTCTGCTCTTAGCACTGAAAAGTTTAAAAGTATTTTCTAAAAATTATAAGTTATAAATCGATTTGTCTAATTATTTATAAATATTTCATTTATAAATACAATTATAAACTATTTTTCCCTAATCTAATGGTAAAAAATATAATGACTTTAAAAAATATTTCTAAATGTATTTTAAACTCTTCAGTGATTGATTCTTAGCGGTAAAACGGACGATTAACAGCTAGAGTTTCGGCGCCGGAGTTCCGTCATTGTCGCTTTTACTCAATATTTTCGACAAATTGTCGAAAGGCAAATCTTATTTTCGACATAGCTGAATTTCAGGTTGTTTTTCGATAATTGTCGAAAATCCATTAACATTTCGGCAGATTACTAAATATTAGTAAAAGTAGTTCAAGTGGCACAATATCAAAAAAATTCGTCATAATGCTTGCACTTATCTAAAGCAATAGATTAAAAGAGAATCAGTGAGCTGCAGTCTTCTTCTAACAATTCACAAATGAAAATTACAAAAGGGTATTATATAGAATACATAGATTAAAGATTATAAAAACAGTGTATTATTTTATTATGCATGGCGTATGCTATTAAAAATTTCACTTTAGGTCCAACCGAAAATTACTGTCGAAATTCCGTTGGATTTTCGGCAATTGTCGAAATTGTTGGCAGCTTTGCTCTGTATATTCGACAATACTGCGAAAATCCTTCAGAATTTGGACTGGCGAAATTCCAAGTGGTGATATTCTAGGATATCTTCTTAGCGAGCTTAGTTGATTTATTTTGACGTTGATATTAAAACTCAAAAAGAACTCCACAACCAAATATTCAACCTCTGTTTGCCGTCCCGAATGTACTCTTTTGTCCGAAAATGAGATGATATTCTTGCCTGCTTACACCTGACTTACGGTCTCTTTGATCAATCTACTTTTACCACTCTGTTACGTTCAACTTTTGTAACAAAACAAACACACAAGGTTTATACCTCTCTTCTTATTGAAATAAACGTATGAACGTAGAAAAAAGAAACATGCAAACAATCAATCAAATTAAAACGTTAATGACTCTACATCTTCGACAGAAGATATATTATCTGCAACTACGGCTTACGAAGATTCATATTAGGGTGTTTTTAATTGGAAAAATGATTTTTATACGTATGAATATATGATTCTACACTTCAGCACTTCAACACGATGAATATACATAATATATCTTAAATATTCCTTTATTTCTAGTCATGTGCATCACTCATCGATACTATTCATTTTGTAAGAGCACATGGACAATCAAATGACATCACGAAGATACAGTTCAACACTGACTTTTTACATATGGTATCATGAAGTACGGCTGTTTTGCATACTGCATGCATACAAGTCCTCCTTTTTCAAGTGAAGTTTGATCATATTCGTTCAGTACTCTATGGATATTGCCGGTTACCTATACGACTGACAAGTTTTCTATCGTTCTAAACAAAAGTAGAAGGCACTGGTGTCTCTTCTAGGAAATGTAGAACGGATTGGCTTGCTACAGAAAAAAACGTTTATTTAAACTCAAGTTGAAGGTGGCCTAAAGCAAAAGTTTTCATATTTTGACATACCTGCGTTTGCCTTGTAAGGGAACATAATTCTATTGAACGTTTGCTCGAAGTTGTTTTTATGAAATTTGACTACACATGAAGAGAGAAAACATAGAATACATATATAATGCCGTTATAGACAAATTGAACACTAAACGACTAATTCCAATTAAGATTAACAAGCTATATATATTCTTTTCTCTTCTTTCTTTCCATCGTTTAGCCACTTCTGCATAATACTATCCTTTTAATTGTCGTTAAATGGTGGTGCGTGTATTCAGTATTCTATCTCATGATGAGCCAATCATCGTAAAATTGTATTATATTGACGAGTTGTTTCACAATATCACATAACTGATTAACATCATGTAGTAGATAGAAGTTTTTTCACTATTAGTATCTTGTTTCCTACGTGATTAAATTCTTTTTCACACATTTGAGAAGAAAAAGACGTTCTTCAATATCTTAGTTAAAATTGTTTTATCTGATAGAAAATTCACACCTATTTATCCTATTATAGTTTCATTTCTCTACCGTATCAGACTGGATGAGATGCATCCGATCTAATAAAGTGTAGCATCGTTATATTGCAGTTATATGATTAATTTACTCAAATAATTAACAGTTTACCGAAAAAATGAGATTTATGGGATTATGTAACAAATCAACAAACTATTACTGATTTGTTGGCAATTATTGACACTACTATGCTTTTTGTACTTAAATAAAGTTTATGTCGTTAATATGCTTTAGAAAAGAATATAGAATATACACAGTGTTCTATCTCTTTGACATTATGCCTATTTAGTTGAGATGTTTCAGAGAATTTCATGGTGCATCACACACTTGCGGATGATTTCTTTTTTTGAGTTCATTTTTTATTTTTTAAAGTCTAAATGAGTTACCGCAGGTCACAGCAAAAATGTCAACAGCGATCATAATAAAACATCAAAGACATTTCATTATAGACGCTCATTTATGGAGAATTATCTACAGCACTTCTACTTCGTTTATAATTAAGGTTGAATCTTTCGGCTTACAACGCTAATGATCCAGCAAAAACCACCACTATTGTGGCATCCGTGGTTACCACGAGTGAAATGATCTGACTTCGTGATTGTTGTGAACCCGTTGATATGTACAAGTCTCAGTTGTATAATATTACTAATTTTTTTACAAAACATAACAACAAACAATCCACTTAGTATCATTGGTTTACAGTATGATCTTAATTTTGAAAAGTCTATTGTTATGCTGTATATTCAAATATATGGAGCGTTTGCATCGATAAGTGCCGTTCATACTCATTTTGTGGTTCTGGTTATATCTCAACCATCAAGTGATAGTTTGGATTGAATGTATTTTTCAACAGTGGTGGGTAGTTAGTCAAACTATATCTCACGTTCTTATGGAACAGCAAATAAAATGCCTGCATAAAACCATAAGTTTTGTAGTTGTTTACAAAAATGTTCCCTTATTATTGTTTCAGTAATGAGATATTAGGTAGTTCAGTACGGCAGACGTTCGATGGCATGAATAACGCTCATGCCTTTGCAATTTTTACTCTAATGCATTTATCTTCTAGTTTTCTTGGTTTTTACGTTATCTCTCTCCGCCAGCAGCACACTGGAGAGCCAGGTTTACAGTTAAATTATACTAAAAACTTAAAAGCACTAGAAAAATACTGGAAAAATGTTAAAATAACTTCGATCGGGCCAACTTTTTGAGAACGACGCATTATTTGCCTATACTACAATGACATTTTAAGTTGGTTATTGGCTAAGCTTGCGGAATTCTTTCTAGAGCGATTTTGTACAACTTAAGGTTTTAGAACTACAACTGAAGTGCAGGATTTTTCAGCAAAAAGTGGTCTAAAATACATTCGGAACCCGAACTTTTTCTAAAGGAAGCATTTTACGCCTATACTACCATGGATCTTTTTACTTATTATATCGTGACTGTGTTTCCTATCAGCGGGTTCATCTCCGTAGGTGCTACTGTTCTGAAGTTAAATGTGGATGACATGGTTTTACCAATTATTTCTACTGTTTTCTGTTTTCTTTATTTATTATTTTCTGGTTACAATTACAGCAGATAGGGACCGATTTATAGATCTAGTTTGTGTTTATCTCCACTTTAGCTGAGCAGATGTGTATAGTGTATGTATTTGCTTCCTCACTCATAAACTATGATTAATAAAAAAAGAGCTGCAAGCTTACAGAGGGGATCAACAGAAAGCGATTGTGGAATGTGGAAGACCCATTCATACCTGATCGAATCCACAATGAAAAATTTTATGAGAATCAATGAACGCACAGATAAAATCCTGATATGATAAAAAATTCTATGACTGGCATTCCAAGGGATTTCAGACGGACCGAATGTCTACCATTTCCAGTAAAATGGAAGTACTCTGTGTTCCATCAGAGGATATAGATTTGAACGACTAATGGTTAAAACAGAATTATTAATCGATTATCATGCTGATAATTTATTGAAAGAAATGAAAAACAAATGAGATTCAACGGTTATCGAAAAACGCACAATTAACTGCAAGCGAACAGATTCGAGAGTCATACGAGCTAACTGTGACTATTTATGTTTATATTACAGTAATGGCTTTTCTATTGTTAAAATAAACATGTCAAAAAATTAATAATTTGAAAGAAACATTCACTTAGTACAACATTACTGTAGGAGGTGATACTAGAAAACTTGGAAAAGATCATTTTGAATAACTGAATGTTTTATTCAGTCTTTCTCTTTGGCTTTTTGCTACAAAATGTTCCATATCCTTTTATCATTGTATCGTAAACGTATGACTACGTTCTCATCTTGTCAGTCTGAATATGATGATCAGAGCTAATTGGACTTGTGTTTTCGATAAAAAAGCTTAATATTTATAGGTGATATATTTCTGGTAATACTTGATCCGACGACAAATAGATGTTTTATTTTTGCTAAAATGGCACTGATCTTGCTCCTTGTTGTCCGCCAGACAAATATAAATATACACTTAAAAGACTACATCATGCATCTGAATAGATACACACAAATACACAAACGTATACAGATATTTATAATAATAATAATAGTAGCGTAGTGTGATGTAAACGAAATCGAGAGAGAAAGAGAGACATCAAAAGTCCAGAAATGTGATTACATATAGATAGCGATAAACGTGACTTTCTCTCATTTTTAGGATAGAAACTCACATTCAGAATATGGTATGTATATAGACTACGTATAAAAGACGATTATAGATGATGAGTCCGCGTTTGTTAGAAATATGTATTTTATGGCGTATATATGTGTGTGATTATCATCATGTTAATTGTACGAAGATAGAAAGAACGAAAGAAAAAAAAAAGTGCACGGGAATCTTCTTTTGTAGTAGATTATCCATATTCTTAGTATACACGAATTGTAGGCGGAAAGAACGAACAATGAACAAGAAAATATTATAAGTCCCATACAATAATATCTCTTTTTTTTCCTTATTTCTTTACCTCGATTCTTTTGAACCACATATCTACTAAACAGAGAGTATAAACTATTGTTAGTATACGCGACAGAGCATTTTCGTACCATTTTCATCGCGCAATACAAGGTAAAGAACTATTTTTTCTTTTGAAAACAATATTTGAGTTAAAATAAAAAATTTTGAAGTTTGATTCCGTACGGCTCTCTTTCACATGCTAGAGGACGATCCTTGAAAACTTCAGTATTATCTCATTTCTTCTTTTACTATAGTTTTTTGGATAAAATTCGCGTGTATTTTATCTTTAATCAATTAAATAAAAGAGCAATGACGCTCCAAGGCATGGTCTTGGATCCAAACGATCCTGAATTACAAGAATCAATGAAATATTTAACAATGACAATGGAAGAACGTAATAAACTTCAATCACAACCATTTGATGGAAAAAAAGCATGTTGGATACCTGATCCAAAGAAATCATTTATTGACGCTGAAATAACGGGTATAAAAGGCGAAGAAGTAACAGTTAAAACAAGCAAAGGAGAAGTGAGTGACGTTAACTAATATGCTGTTCCATTACTTATATTAAAATATCTTTTATAGAATGTTACATTAAAAAAAGATGATGTTCAACAAATGAATCCACCAAAATTTGACATGTGTGATGATATGGCAAATTTAACATATTTAAATGATGCTTCAGTACTTCATAATTTACGCGAACGTTATAAAAATTGGTTAATTTATGTAAGTTTAAAATAGAACATTGAGGAGTAATCATGCTCAATCTTGCTGTCTTTCTTTTCGTTTTAGACCTATTCAGGTTTATTTTGTGTGGCTATAAATCCTTATAAACGTTTACCAATTTATACAACGAAAGTTGTCTTAATGTATCGTGGAAAAAAACGTTCAGAAGTAGCACCACATTTATATGCTATTGCTGACCATGCTTATTCAAACATGCTAAGAGGTAATTATTAACTATGTGTCGCTAGCCAAGACAGCAGTGTAACCTATAGTGGTACATAATAGCTGCTGGCTAATAGTCTAATAGCTATACGAGATTCATCAATTCCCAGACAACTACTTTTTAATTAACATATTTTTTCTTGCATGAAGAAAGAGGAAGAGTAATTACACTTCGTTGCAGTTTACGTCATTCATTCTCTATCTTGAAGCATAATCATCAGTATATATATATATATATATATAAAAGCTTAATCATTCTCTCATTTGCTCATCATAATAAATTCCAGATGTTTCTCTTATGTTATCAGCAGCAGTATTAAAGAGAAGCTTAATACATTTTTCTCGCTATTTCTCTTTGCGTTCAATAAACAATATCAACAACATCACGTCTTTGTTTTCTTCAGTTGACTGAGTGAAGCAAACGAAGATTTATTGCTTTTCAACAGAAAAGTCTTATTCCACAAAAAACATTCATCGCAAGAAATCTGTGTTTTTACTTATTTTATTATGAAAGTTGCATAACTGCGCAACGCAACTATGTATTATGAGGCTTGATAAATCTCCTCAATACAGATAGCTTGACGCGTTCTACAATTCGATTGAATTTAAATCTACTAAATGGAAAGTATATGGAGAATCTATAGAGCTTTAGATCGGTTCTTAACAGTAACAAAGATCAGATTTGTGATGAGCATAAAAATTCTATGTTTTATCGAAAGTGGAAAGAGTAATTTGAGAACATTTCTTCGTCATTTCTTTACACTCTTTTTAATGGTGTTCAACAGAAAACTCACTCCAACTATCAAAAAATTGCAGAAAAACTGCAATTATCTGATTCTTTGTCTCAAGTCAAAATTGAATAGCACAATAAAATTTAGTTCACTACTACTCCATACTTTCCCTATAGGGATTGCCCTATTTGCTATACCACGCGGACATGAAGCTTTTTCTGAATGCGAATATGACCTTATGTTTTCCTAAAAGAGTTTCTGAGCCGAGAAAATCAGGTTTCATGTGAAAAACCATAGTGTTCTGAAAAACCTGGCGGACTGCTCAGAAACGTTTGTTCTAATTTGTGCTAAGTGTATTGATCTACAAACAAACATCACTGTTAATTAAACGATAAAAGTGGTAAAAAAATCGCTTATCGTTTCGCAAGCGTAATCAATTAACGTTCAAGCCTACTAAGTCTGGTAGCTTTGCTATCTATAGCAAGTCTCATTTCTCGATTCGAGAGCTGACAAGAGCCATCTTTTGGATCGAGATCTTGACTTAATAAGCGTTTAAATTTGGTTAATTGTTCTTATTTCTTGCAGCTTCTCAAGTGCAGAAGTTATATTTGCGTTTTCTCTTTTCTCTGATTTAGAAGAAATTAACGCTTTTATTAACTGTTTATTTGACTATATCAATATCGACAGAATTCTAAATTGAAAGAGACTGCGAGAGAATTGATATGCTGATCGTACAGTTTAAAGCACAATATGTACATTATGCCCACAATATATCGATATTTCTATTGCTCATATTTAACAGATACTTTACAAAAAACTTAAAATTGTTTCTTTGTACGTCGTATATAGGTTAATGCTATACTTGAATCTTACAACAACGCTAAACCACTAGAAGCTATCATTCTTCTTAATTTGTAAGTTATATATCCAGATCAGACATATGTATGCATAAAAAATACAGCCTTCAATATATTTTATTTATATTTTGCTTAATTTATCAAATTTTCTCAGATATATTCTTTGCACTTCTAATTTTGTGCTTTGCCATCAATTATTCGTGCAGCAGCAAGCAATTCACTCATCCACACATGAAGTTACTGCTTTTTTTCCTATGGATACGGTTCCCCTCTTACAGATAGGGAAAGCAGATTCGTCCTTCAGACTATGTGATAGTGTCTCAACTTCAGCGATCGCAGTCAGGGCGGTAGGAGCAGCCCGGAAAATGTAGCAGCGGCATAAAAAGCTAGTCAACTTTTCTGTGTTAATCTTCTGCGTAGACATCCAAATACGAGTATAGTCTCTTATATTACTTGGAAGTCTGTTTTTCTTCCCTAAGTATTTGACGTCTGACTGGTTTATTTTATTGGAGCGAAAAGTGAAGCAGACGCAGATAAAATCATTCTATTTTCGCTCCATTACTTTCCGCGAGATATTTTTATAAGGTTTTCGGCGCAATTCCAGCCTCTCCTAGTCGAAAAACAATCGGATTGCCTGCTCAGCTTAATACCAGCTCGTCTAACTAGCTTTCTTATATTTAACACAAAAAGCTAAACCAAAATTGCATGTTGCAACCAATAATCTCATGAGTTCATAACAGTCTCTTCATATTTTCTCTAAATACTTTAGAACGGGAAAATCAATCTATGTTGATTACTGGTGAAAGTGGTGCTGGAAAAACTGAAAATACTAAAAAAGTCATTCAATATTTCGCCTATGTCGCTGCAGCTAGTGTTAAGAAAGAAGGAGAAAAGGTAACATAGATTAGACATTTGCGATTAGAATCTACTTATAAACCTGATTCACCATTTTGTTATTCTCTTTCTCCTTTCAACCACATACAGCAAGCAAATTTAGAAGATCAAATTGTACAGTCGAATCCTGTACTTGAAGCATTTGGAAATGCTAAAACTAGTAGAAATAATAATTCTTCAAGATTCGTAAGTTCAAATATAATCATGAGCACACATTAATGAAACACCGAAAATTATTGTACTTGCACACAATTAAATTCACACACCAAGCATTCTTTTCATCTTTTTTAACTTTAGGAGTGTGATTAAGAATTATGAATATGATAATGATTTTTGTATATAGTTGTCACATATGCATGTTGCATTATCGATCAAGATATATTTTATTTTTGTTGTTGGTATTGTAATATAGCACGTAAATCTTGAGCATCAATTAGTACATCAAATTCAGTTCTCGAGGTTTTTGGTAATGCACTAAAAGTAAGTATATATCGTCGAGCTTAAATAAACAATAGGAACGTTAGTTAATTAATTGCAACTGAAGTAACTTAAATTAATATCTTCACGTATGAAAAACAAAATTGTCTGTTAAACTTTTGACTTTGAAAAAATTTTTATTTTAAAGATTTTTCAAAAAGTAATCATCATACTTTTGTCGAATAGATAGTATATTTCTATGGGTGGTCATATAACCAAACTTGACCTGTTGGATTAGAAAAAGTGCAGATCTGTTTTGAAAGACAGTAGATGTTTCAAAGTTGACGTTATGTTCTTCTGCTATATAAATATGTACTTCGGTAATACTTCTTTTCTTTGAGTGGATCGCACTATAAGATTTTATTTGACTTTGCATGTAAATGTGTATTGTATGAATGTTTCTTTTGCACCTATCCAATTCACATACAGAAAAAGAAGAAGTCTGGTTCTATGTGCGGATACTTGTCTTTCGCTACCATCTTTTTATTTATAGGGTAAATTTATTCGTATACATTTTGGTGCCCAAGGCAAAATTGCAGGTGCTGATATTGAAGTTTATTTATTAGAAAAAGCTCGCGTCATTTTTCAACAACCAGCTGAAAGAAATTATCATATTTTCTATCAGTTATGTTCAAATGCATTTCCAGAATATCATAGTAAGAACCTCTACTGTAACGTATATAATTAAAACAATTAAACAAACCTTCTATTTTCTAGAGGAACTTTTATTAATGAACGATCCAGGAAAATATCATTATGTTGCTCAAGGCATGTTAACAATTGAAAATGTTGATGATGCCGAAGAAATGAGAATAACAGATGAAGCATTTGATGTATTGGGTTTTACAAAAGAAGAAAAACTAAATATGTACCGTTGTACGGCAGCTATAATGCATTTTGGTAATTCAAAGTGGAAACAACGACCTAGAGAAGAACAAGCAGAAGCAGATGGTACCGAAGATTGTGAAAAAGTTGCCTTTTTATTGGGCGTTGAAGCAGTCGATTTAATCAAGGGTTTATTAAAACCACGTATCAAAGTATGATACCATATTTGTACGCATTATAATGTGAAGAATATGTTTATTTTTTCTTAAAATATAGGTTGGTACTGAATATGTAAACAAGGGTCAAAATAAAGATCAAGTTGTTAATTCAATTGGAGCATTATCAAAATCAATTTATTATCGTATGTTTTGTTGGCTAGTTGAACGTGTCAACGTTACATTAGATGTTAAAGCAAAACGTCAATATTTTATTGGTGTTTTGGATATTGCTGGTTTCGAAATTTTTGATGTAAGTTAAATAAATCTCTTAAATTATTAAGTCCCCAAGGTTTTAGTATTTAATTTTCGGTCAACTACTTATAAAAATGGATTATATGAAACCTCGATATGACTTTCTTAAGCTCGAGAAAAATTACTTTTCATTTTTAAAAAAGTTAAGTTTTTATCAATTAAATTTAAAATTAAAATTTGAAAAAAGTTATTTTTTTCAAAATTCTAGTTAGAAACCAAAGATCAAACATATCTAAGTTTAGACCATCAAGTTTGAGGAAGTTGAGACAGAAAATGAGTTCAGATGGTGATGAAAATCAAAAATGACTAAGAAAATGAGCCTGAAATCCCAGCAGAATATGACCTTTCGTTTTGTACCATCAGCAGTAGCCTACAGTTTAAAAAATAATTTCTTCCACTGACAGAATTTGAAAGAGCACACCTTTCTACATATTTCTGAAAAATTGTTCAATAAAAAGCTTTTCCTAAAGTACCCAAAAAGCTTAAATTAAAAAGTTTAATTTTTTTGAAAATATTTTTCATTATTTAAGTATCACGGCTAGCATAAAACATAAACAAAATATTTTTTTTTTACTATTCGATAGCTAATTTAATTCTCTATAATCGATATAAGATTAGGTTTTCTTTTAAAGAATGCTTCCTGAGTTTGTTATTATTATTATAACGCCAATATCCATTCAAATGGACATTGGGCTATAAAAGATTAATTTCATTGTAAATTTGCATTTTTATTTCATCTCTAGTATAACGGTTTTGAACAATTATGTATTAATTATACAAATGAACGTCTTCAACAGTTTTTTAATCATCATATGTTCGTCTTAGAACAAGAGGAGTATAAAAAAGAAGGTATTCAATGGGAATTTATTGATTTTGGAATGGATTTACAAGCGTGTATTGATTTAATTGAAAAGGTAATTCTCGACATTCATCTTTATCGATTGAAATATTTTTAATTAATTTTAATTAATTAGAAAAAGTCTTACATTAAATTTATTGAAACTAATTTTCTTAAGATTAAAATTTATTTAATTTATTTATTTGAATTAGATTATTTTAATCTGAAGAAAATTAGTTTCAATGAATTTAATATGAGACTTTTTCTAATTAATTTAAATTAACTAAAAATGTTTTAATGGGTCGAATCCTCGGTTGTTGTTTTTTCTACCTGTAATTACCTATTATTCTAGCCAATGGGCATATTATCTATTCTTGAAGAAGAATGTATTGTACCAAAAGCCACTGATAAAACATTCGTTGAAAAATTATACAATAATCATCTTGGAAAACATCCACAATTTGGTAAACCAAAACCATTAAAAGTACGCACGCAACTCTTGATTTAGACAAATCTAAAATGTATCATCGTTTGATCATATACATTTTCTAGGGCAAAGTTGAAGCACACTTTGACATTCATCATTATGCTGGCTCTGTGCCTTATACAGCAACAAGTTGGCTAGAAAAAAATAAAGATCCAATTAATACAACTGTTGCTGCACTATTTTCAAAATCGAAAAATCCAATGCTATGTCATTTATATATGGATGTAGCAGCTGAAGAAGACGATAAAGCCTCAGGTGGTAAAGGTGGTGTTGGTAAAGGTAAAAAAGGAGGCAGTATGCAGACAATATCAGCTACTCATAGAGTAAGTACACTAGAGTCGATTTATTTTCAATTCAAACTTTAATAATTTTTTTATTTCTAGGAACAATTGAATAAACTTATGGTTAATTTAAGACAAACTCATCCTCATTTTGTTCGTTGTATTATTCCCAATGAAGTTAAAACGGGTGGTAGGCATTCATTTATAACTTTTTTTTTAGGTCGATTTGTCTCTTACTCATATTTTACTTTTTATTCTAGGTATACTCGATTCACATTTGGTTTTACATCAACTTCATTGTAATGGTGTATTAGAAGGTATTCGTATCTGTCGTAAAGGATTTCCAAATCGTATGATTTATTCTGAATTTAAACAACGTTATACTATATTAGCACCAAATGCTATACCCAAGGGATTTGTTGATGCTAAAAAAGCAACTGAATATACTCTTAAAGATATTGTTTTAAGTGAAGAATTATATCGTTGTGGTATAACAAAAGTATTTTTCAAAGCTGGTGTTCTTGGTCAATTAGAAGATATGCGTGATGCTGCATTATCAAAAATTATTACCATATTACAAGGTCAAATACGTGGTTATGTTATGCGTAAAGAATATAAAAAAATGCTTGATCAACGTATGGCATTATCAATATTACAACGAAATATAAGAAAATATATTTCTATTCGTAATTGGCCATGGTGGAAATTGTATACAAAAGTAAAACCATTATTAAGTGTAGCAAGACAAGAAGAAGAAATGAAAAAATTAGAAGAAGAATTTATAAAATTAAAAGAATCATTAGAAAAAGAAGAAAAATTACGAAAAGAAATTGAAGAAAGTAATGCAAAATTAAATAAAGATAAAAATGATATGTATTTGACATTGGAAGCGGAAAGAGCAAATACAAATAGTGCTGAAGAACGTTTACAAAAATTAGTTTCACAAAAAGCTGATTTAGAACAACAGGTAGAGATTGTTTATCTCATCTTTATAATTTTGTCATTTTTTATTTTGTTTATAATAATAGATAAAAGATATGGAAGAACATATTAGAGAAGAAGAAGAAGCATCAACCGAATTACAAAATAAACGTAAAAAACTTGAACATGATATTGATGCATTGAAAAAAGATATTGACGATATGAGATTAAATTTACAAAAAGCCGAAAATGAATGTAAAACACGTGATAATCAAATACATACTTTACAAGATGAAATGGCTCAAGTATGTTCAATAAATTCTTATTCAGAGTATCTTATCCTCTAGAAAATTCAAAACAAACTAACAACTCAAAATTTATTTAAATTGAGCTGAAATTTCTAATACAAACTCTATGGATGGGATCTCGCGAACTATCACATTGCTTTTTCAGCCAAACCTAGTGGGTTCTAGGTGATCAACTATGCTGGATTCGAATATCATAGTGGTAGCTGCCTTGGGGCCTTCAGACAGCGTTTTTCTGGAAAACCGGTTTTTCAAAAACTCTAAGAAGTAACCAAAACCTTTCTTAATAAAGCATAATTGTAGCCCGCACATTTCTGATTAAAACGAGACATTTCTCATCTCTACAGGACCTTTCTTTGCAAAGTTATAGAGTTTACAAGAAAAGCCCTAAATGTTCATTGTCAGCTCAAAGCTACAGAAATAAGAAGAAGGGCTTTTCTTGTAAATTCTCTAACTTTGCAAAGAAAGGTCATGTAGAGCTGGGAGACGTCTCATTTTAATCAGAAATGTGTGGGCTACAATCATACCTCATTAAGAAAAGTTTTAGTTACTTTTTAGAGTTTTTGAAAAACTGGTTTTCCAGAAAATCCCTCCCTGAATGTCCCTAGGTAGCTACCACTATGATATTCCAATTCAGCATAGTTGATAACCTATAATCCACCAGATTTGGCTGACAAAGCGATGTGACAGTTCTTGAGATCCCGTCGTAAGAAGTTAGATCTCTAATTGAAAGTTATCATATTCTCTCAGTTATTTTATTCTCTTTTTTTGCTTTCAATTTTAATAGCAAGATGAAACAATTGCTAAATTGACACGAGAGAAGAAACGTTTAGAAGAACAAAATACAAAAACTACCGAAGAATTACAAACTGAAGAAGATAAAGTAAATCATTTGAATAAATTAAAAGCAAAATTGGAACAATCATTGGATGAATTAGAAGATAATTTAGAACGTGAAAAGAAAAATCGTACTGATTTAGAAAAATTAAAACGAAAATTGGAAACAGATATCCGAACATTACAAGCCAATATAGAAGATCTTGAACGTAAAAATTTTTGAAATATAAAATAAAAAAAAAATTTCAGTTTTTATTTTTAATATTCATTCATTTGAGTTTAGATGTTCGACGTGAATTAGAAGAAGGTTTAAAACGTAAAGATCAAGAAATTCAACAAATGAGTGGTCGTTTAGAAGATGAACAAGGACATGCATCGACTTTAGGTAAAAAAATTAAAGAACTTCAAGCAAGAATTGAAGAATTAGAAGAAGAAATAGAAACAGAACGTCAATCAAGAGGAAAAACTGAAAAACAACGAGCTGATTTAGCACGTGAAATTGATGAAATGAATGATCGTTTGGGTAATTCGTAATGGATATTATTGTGAATTGTCTCATATAAAACAATTTGAATATGTTTTTTAGAGGAGGCTGGCGGTGCAACATCGACACAGGTTGAAATGAATAAAAAACGTGAAAGTGAATTAGCCAGATTAAGAAGAGATTTAGAGGAAGCTAATCTTCAACATGAAGCAACAGCTGCTCAATTGAGAAAGAAAAATCAAGATGCAGTTAATGAAATGGGAGAACAAAGTAAGTTTTAAATATTTAACATGCTACGTGATAGTAAATATAATTTCCAAAGTCAATGGAGAATTTATACAAAATATGAATCTTCTTTTAATTCAATTTATTAGAAAAAAGTAGACAAATTTTACTTTTTTTAATTATAACTAACTAATTTACTATTTTTCTTTAGTTGATCAATTGCAAAAATTAAAAAATAAATTAGAAAAAGAGAAACAACAAGTCAAAAGTGAATTAGATGATTTACATATACAAATTGACCATGTTACCAAAGGTAAATTAACTGCTGAAAAATTATCAAAACAATTAGAACAACAACTAGGTGAAATGCAAACAAAATTAGATGATCATACTAAACAAATAAATGATTTTAATTATCAAAAATCAAAATTATTGTCAGAAAATTCAGATTTATTAAAACAATTAGAAGATGTTGAACATCAAGTTGGCTCATTGACAAAATCTAAAACGAGTTTAGAATCACAAGTCGATGAAGCAAAACGTGCTTTAGAAGAAGAGATACGTAGTAAAAATGTTATAGGTAAGAATATTCTCTTATAATCAATTTTAATTTTAATTATAAAACATATTACGACTCATTTTAGCCTCTCAATTACGTAATTTAACAGCTGATTTAGATCAAGCTAAAGAACAATTAGATGAAGAACAAGAAAGTAAATCAGAATTACAACGTCAAGTTACAAAATTAAGTGGTGAAACTCATCAATGGCGTGCAAGATTTGAATGTGAGGGTGTAGCACGTGCAGAAGAATTAGAAGAAGCTAAACGTAAATTAGCAGCAAAATTATCGGAAGCTGAGGAACAAGTTCGTAAAAGAAACTACTGATTAGTTAAAGGATGTATTTCAATAATTTGTTTTCATTTTTTATTTTCAGGTTGAAGCTGCGTTAAACAAATGTAATTCATTGGAAAAAGTAAAAGCCCGTTTACAAGGCGAAGTCGAAGATTTAATGGTCGATGTTGAACGTGCTAATGCCAGTAAGTAATTTCATATCTTCTTTATAACTATCTCAACTAACAGTGTTCTTATTTCATTGAAAAAACAAAAATAGATGCATCAGCTATGGATAAAAAACAAAAACAATTTGATAAATTAATCAATGAATGGAAACAAAAATGTGAAGATATTACAATGGAATTAGAAGTATCGCAAAAAGAAGCACGTCAATATTCTACAGAATTATTTAAATTTAAAACACAATATGAAGAATCACATGAACAAATTGAAGCATTAAGAAAGGAAAATAAAACGTTATCAGATGAAATTAAAGATCTTATCGATCAATTGAGTGAAGGTGGTAAGTCTGTACATGAATTAGATAAAGCAAGAAAACGTTTAGAAATAGAAAAAGAAGAATTACAAGCAGCTCTAGAAGAAGCTGAATCAACATTGGAACAAGAAGAAGCCAAAGTTCTACGTACACAAATGGAATTATCAACAGTTAGACAAGAAATAGATCGTCGAATACAAGAGAAAGAAGAAGAATTTGAAAATACAAGACGTAATCATCAACGAGCATTAGATTCAATGCAAGCAAGGTAAGTTGACAGAGTCATATACTCCTACCCAGAAAATTGATTTATTTTTTTAATTTGTTTCTATTATTTAGTCTCGAAGCTGAATCACGTTCAAAACATGAAGCTCTTAAACAAAAGAAAAAATTAGAATCTGGTATTAATGAATTAGAAATTGCTCTTGATCATTCAAATCGTACAAATGCTGATTTACAAAAATCGATTAAAAGAATGCAACAATCTGTATCAGATCTACAAGTACAAGTTGAAGAAGAACAACGACAACGTGATGAAGCTAGAGAAACAGCGGCCACTGCTGAACGTCGGGCTAATTTAATTGTCGGTGAATTAGAAGAATTACGAACAACATTGGAACAAGCTGAACGTGCACGAAAAGTAGCTGAAAATGAATTACATGAAGCAGTTGATCGTGTTTCTGAATTAAGTACTCATAATGCTACTTTATCATCACAACGTCGACAATTAGAAGCGACAGTGGTTGCTATGCAAGCTGATCTGGATGAAGCTATAGCCGAATTAAAAAATAGTGAAGAACGATCGAAGAAAGCTGGTAAGTGTAAGAATTAATATAGACGAAAAATTCTGTAGTCATTTTCTATTTGCAGGTGCTGATGCTGCTCGATTAGCTGAAGAATTACGACAAGAACAAGAACATGCTCTACATATCGAACGTTTAAGAAAAAGTCTAGAACAACAAGTTAAAGATCTTCAAACACGTTTAGATGAAGCCGAAGGCAATGCACTTAAAGGAGGAAAACGTATCATTGCTAAACTTGAACAACGAGTAAGTGTTTTATAACATACTTATACACTGTTTTATTAGTAATATAATCTTTCCTTTGATTTAGATTCATGAACTTGAAGGTGAAAATGAAATGGAACAACATCGTCATGCCGAAACACTCAAAGAATTACGTAAAAATGATCGACGTTTGAAAGAATTAGCATTTCAAGCTGAAGAAGATCGTAAAGATCAATTACGTTTACAAGATTTAGTAGAAAAATTACAAAATAAAACAAAAATTTATAAACGACAAGTTGAAGAAGCAGAAGAGATAGCTTCTTTAAATTTAGCCAAATATCGTAAAGTACAATCAGAATTAGGTATAAACTTATCTTCAATAATCAATAACAATCATAAGTTATTTTTTGTTCAATTACAGAGGATTCTGCTGAACGAGCAGATATTGCTGAAAATCAATTAGCAAAATTACGTGCAAAAAATCGATCTACAATATCGGCAAGTAGATCATCGCCAATGGTAAGTATCAACAAAAGCTTACCATAGCTAAGCTTATAATATTTTTCGTTTTTAGCGTGAATTTCGTGAAAGTACACGACAAGCAAGCTTAGTTCGTGCATCCTCCGTACGACCACGTTAAAAAAATAAACGACAATCTTCTACTAAAGTAGGTGGAAACAGCATTCGGATTTCTCAATATCGAGACTCTAAATCCTCCCCTCCCCCTCGATAACTGAAAAGAAAACCACACACATCTAAAAAATAATCGAGCTTTTAGTATGTTCCTGCTATCACTATCGTATATGCTTGCATTTCACTATATCGGTATCTGATTTTAGGTTTAGGCAATAGACTGTGCAACAGAACCATCACAAAAAATCATTTTACACAACTCTCAATCTATGCAAGCAAAAAACAGACTTTTGTAGACTCATTTGTTTCCTTTTTCCAATTATTTCATGAACTTTTATTTAATACTAGTTCTAGACTGGTTGTATGTTGTTGTTACTATATAAAGTGAAGAAAGTTAGAAATCTTCTCACTATAAATTTGACTGTCGACAGTTTTTTTTTTTGCGTTTATGCACTCACAATTTTCTTGTTTAACTATTTACTTTTTTTTGCTAAAATTTAAGTCTTCTTCTACTCGATCGAAAACAATGGTAGTGACAAAAACTTAGTTATCTATAAAATAGTAGTATTATTAATATGACAAAATACTTTCTCAAATATTTTTTGTTATTTTGTGCATTAACATCGACAGTATTGTTATCATTGAAATATTGTTCTTTTTCTATGTTCTCTCTCGTTTTATTCATATTTGTGCTTGATTTGAATAAAAAATAAACGACTTCTATAAGTCAAAATAATACAAAATTAAATAAGTCTTTCTTCAAACGTATCATTTTTCGACAAAAAAAAAATGCAGTAAACGATAAATTCGCTTGATATACGTTGAATATTTCTATAAACTTCATTTTTTTTTAAAACTCCTTTGAATCTTGCTCATCACCTTCAAAAGTCGAGCAATCATTACAAAAATATTTATTCTAAACTTCTAAATGCAATAAATTTAAATTTTTCAATGCTTGTTTATTATCTCTAAATACATCATCCACTTCACTATCCCATATTTTTTTCTCTTCATTTAATTGTTGAATAATACTATTGAATGCTCCATCTAACATACTCTCAAATGACAATTCCATATTGGCAATTTTTGTCTCTAAATCGTGAATATGTAACTCTTTTGATTTTACTAATTGTTCTTTTTCACCTTTATTTTTTGTTAATTCTTGATCAGTTATCGATAACTGTTTACGTACAGCACCTAATTCTAACTCTAATGTGGTAATTTTCAAACCTAATTCCATTTGTAATGTTTTATATTGATGAGTTAAACCGGAACTTATAGATTTCATATCGGCCGTTAATTCTTGAACATTTTTTTCTGCTTCATGAATTTGATCACGATAATTATCGGCTATTGAACGTGAACGGCGAGAAATTTCACGACGATAAGCCATTTGATCTTTTAATGCATCTATTTCATGTTGACTCTGTTTTAAACGATCTTCATTTTCGTCACCATCACCACCTTTCCCTTTTCCCTTCTTTCCTTTTCCCTTTTTTTTTGGTGGCATTCCGAAAATTATCTACAATGAACTGAAATAATGAGAAATCTCAAATTACCATTGTTCAAACTTATTTCATTTCTTAGTTTCTTTGCAAAACAAAAAACAACAATAGTAATAAAAAATTGTTTATTCAACAAATGTAACAAGGGTATATACAAGAAGAACGATAATATTTTGAATTTTGCAAGTTATTACATGTATTTTTCGTCATCTTGACCTCTTGATGTTTCAGTAACAACTTTTTTTAAATAATCTGCAAATGTATTTTTTAATGGTTCAATTTCTTCCGATTGACCGTTAAATGATACACGAGGTATATCATTGAACAATGAGGCTGAAATAGAAGATAACTGTTAAGTTTTAAACAATAGTTAATTTGATATTGATTACTTACACAATTTAGCATCGCGATGATTTTGTGTTTTATTTGATGCAACGATAAGACAACATCTTTCAGGTACGTTTGGCTTTTCTACAAAATTGCTATACCTAGAAGAAGAAAAAAAAAATACGGAGAAATCCAAAAATAAAAAAGTGATTGATTATGTTTCAAAAGTTTATAAAGATTTTACCATAGATTTAGTTCTTTGCTGTGTTCTTCCTCATCTTCATCGAATACAAATACGGTACCATTTAATTTGTGACTTAATGCCGGCCAAGTATTTTCGAATCTAAATACTTGAAATAAGAATAAGCTTCTTTGCAACGAATAATACTCACTTCATATCTCCACTACAATCCCAAATTTCGATTGTAGAACTCACTGTTTTTCCTTTAATTGTTAATGGTGAATCATATTCAATTATGCTAGAATAAAAATGAAGACGCTATTTTTCTTATGTAGAAGCAAAGGTTTCCAAAAACAAAAGCTTGTACGATCAGCACATATCTTGACTGTCGGATAGAGCCGAGAACAAAAAAAAATTTTGATTCATTTTTCAAAAGCCTCTTGATTATGAAGAGGTGAACTTCTGTGTTGATTGCGATAGTATTGTTAGATAAACTAATAAATATCGCAGGTCTGAATCTCAAATCTAATATTCATAATCAGTTTATTACACTTTTCAGAAAAATGCGGACGATGAAAAACGATAGCCTGCCTGCACGAGATAGATATTCTCTGCAGAAATTCTAAAACTGATTTGATCATTGTTAATCGCTTACCGTACTGGAATGGTTGGCACATAATGATCCGTCAGACTCTCTCTTTGTTCTGTAGCAAAATTGATAAAAGATGTTTTTCCACACTAAAAGAAATACAGATTTTGAACGAATAACACAAACAAAAGTCTATGATAAGTTTTAGGCTTACTCCTAATGGACCAACAATAGCAATTTTGATAGGGTTCGACATTTTTACAAAGACCTTAACTCGGTTCGTCGACAATACCTAGTTCATAGATAAAATAGGCAAACTTTTTCTTCTTTCATCACGTCCCCTTTCTCAAATGGTTGTCATGGCGAACCTCATTAAAAAAATGAATTTTAAGTTCGGAAGACGAATAGGGGTGAACATCTCGATTTAACAAACCTCGTTTTATCTGTTAAAAAATGATGTACCGTTGAAACACGTATAAAGAATAAAAATGAATATAAAGTCACTAGATGATATAATAGCTTCTTCCGTTTAGTTATAGACAGTAACAATGATGAAGAAAAATACCCTTAAACATCGTTTAATCGAGAAATTATATGATAAGAAAATTTGCTAAAAACAAGTGTCCAATTATTTTTCCTCGGACAGTCACGACTAACGAGAACTTTCAAGCTGAGAATATGCGATTGTCACAAGAAAAATTATTGAACTCTTGCATTGACCGAAAAAGTTGTGTGTAGTATAAATTAAAATGAAGGCATCTGAGATGTTCAATTTTTACTAGCACACAGGTACTCCAGATAAAATAAAATACTGGCTTGTGTGCTCAAGAAAAAGAACCCAGTCCAAAATATCCTAGATAACATCTGATGTGTGTTTTTTTCGTCATTTGGAGACTGGATTTATTTCGAAAGTAACGGCGAGTGTTGTTTTTTTTTTTGTTGCATTTTTTTCACACATAAGATTTTTGCAAACTCGTTTTTTAAGAGAACGTGTTCTCCTTTTGTGTCCTGTGATACAAACTTGATTTATCGGTTTTCGCAATATATTCAAATTATATTACTGATTTGTTATCTTCAAAGTATATTCCATTATGATATATGTGAGCAGATCGGTGACGTAGTGGTAACGCCATCTCTTATTAAAAATGAAATTTTAAGGAGATTTATAAATAGTTTTCAATTGGTGAAAAGCTGTTCTGTCAGTAAAACAAGGAGAAATGCTTTCATTGCTTGATTTATTGATAAATGGATAGATAAATAAAATAGTATAAAACTATGTACCATCTACTGCTTAATACCGTGATTATTAGGCGTGTTTGTTAATTATCATACGGTAGTTTTTCGAAATAGTGCTAATTGTCAGTGAAATAAAAATGAACTTAATTGAAGCTGTTCGTTATTATATTAATCAAATGATAGACGATTGTGGACCAACAATGAAAGGGCTTGTTATGGACAAAGAAACGGTAAGTTTAGTTAATAGTTTCTTGCATATCCTTTCATTTACATTCGTTTTTTCAGGCTGCCATTGTGAGTATGGTTTATGCACAATCAGAAATATTACAAAAAGAAGTATTTTTGTTTGAACGTATCGATATACCTGGACAGAAATCGTTAAAACACTTGAGTTGTATCTGTTTTGTACGGCCAACAGAAGAAAATATTCAAGCATTGGCCCGAGAATTACGCGATCCAAAATATGGCTCATATTTTATATGTACGAATAAATATTACCCTTTATCTTTACAAACTTCACGTTTCTCAATCTCTCTTAGATTTTACCAATTTTATCGAAATGAGTGATGTCAAAGCATTAGCCGAAGCAGACGAATTCGAATGTGTCCGAGTTATAAAGGTAATAGAAAAATTTGATCAATGAATAAATCAAATATGTTTTTTCTTTTTCTGTAGGAGTATTATGGCGATTATTTGGCTGTTAATCCACACTTATTTTCGTTAAATACTCCAATATGTTGTAAGGTAATTTCCTCTCTATTATGGCAAAAAGTTGATATATTCAAAACTGTGCTCTTATTTATTGCAGACAAACTACGAATGGAATGATATTGTTCTTAGACGGTGCATTCAAGGACTTGTTTCATTATTGTTATCATTGAGAAAAAAGAGTGCATCAATAAGATATCAGAAATCGTCGAATATGGCGAAAATATTAGCAGATAAATTGACTGTAAGTGAATTGTCTAAATTAGCATCGAAACCGGACGATTTTCAGCTTCAGATGTTGCACTTCGACTAACTTCAATGAGAAAATGTTTTGAAAAAGTGGATAAATAATCAATAAAAACTTGTTTTAATTTGAGTTTTTCTTGCAATCTCATTGTTGTTTGTTATTCCTTTAGAATACCCTTCAACGTCAAGCGGAGTTCAATATATCATCGAATACAAATGATGCTACTCAAACAATTTTACTCATTCTTGATCGTCGTGAAGATGCAATAACACCATTATTGAATCAGGTATATAAATTTACAGAGAAATTGTTACAATTGATTATGAAGTAAACAGAGTTTATGTTGCTCTTATTTCCTGTTAGACTGACTCTTTTGCAATGAAAAATGATAAGTTTTTTTCTTTATTTGTTCACTTTGCTTCTTCTGTCCAAATCAAGAAGTGGACATAAATACTACCTCTATGATTTATTATCCAACAAAATTTCGTTTTAGTGGACGTATCAAGCAATGGTTCATGAATTACTTGGTATTAGAAATAATCGTGTGAGTCTAAGTCAAGTACCCGGTATATCAAAAGATCTTGAAGAAGTTGTGATGAATGGTGAATACGATGAGTTTTATGCTAGTGTAAGATAGAAAATTTTTTGGTTGTTCTTTTGTACACAGTTTTTTATTTTTCTTCGATAATAGAATTTATATAGTAATTTTGGTGAAATAGCAACAAATATTAAATTACTTATGGAACGTTTTCAAGAAAAACATAAAAGTCAATCAAAAATCGAATCCATTACCGACATGAAAGTACGTTAAAAGTTTGTTATGTTTTCAATTTGAAATAACTATTCGAAAGCAGTTTTAATCAAAATTTCTATATTGTCTTTTATTGTATCTGTATCTTTTAGACATTTATTGAAAACTATCCTCAATTTAAAAAATTATCTGGTACTGTCTCAAAACATGTTACAATTGTCAGTGAATTATCTCGATTAGTTGGTCTACATCACTTACTTGAAGTATCTGAAACTGAGCAACATCTTGTTTGTCAAGGTGATCATAATGAAGTTGTTCAAGTACGTAAGAAAGTCAAAAATAACTAGATTACATTTTTATTCACTATTTATGCTGCCATTTCAGAAATTAAAACGTTTAATAAAAGATGATAAAATTCATGATAGTGATATTTTGAGATTACTTTGTTTATATGCTTTACGTTACGAAAGACATGCCAGTAATGAATTAAATACACTTAAACGAGAAGCACAACATCATAGAAAAAAATTTACCGATAACTATTTACAGGTATAGAAAGTTTTGAATCTATATTCTATTCTTAAGCTATATTGATTTCTAATTTTAACTAAAAATAATGATGAGATATTACACAAACGGAAAGTCTTTTAGTGCGTTTTGCATTTGATATATAAAATATGTGTGTATGTGTAGCAAACTAATTGTTCAGAAAATCTAACAAAAGTTATGTGGTATAGCATAAAACTATCAGTTATATTTTCCAGTTTCTTCAAGCTATATTGGATTATGGTGGATTAAAATTTCGTCAAGCTGATTTATTTAATACTCAAACACCAATGGCGATAACAAAAAGATTTATTAAAGGACTTCGAGTAAGTAATGAAATGAGAATTTATTTATCACTTTATCATAAATTTGTATTTTGTTCGAATACAGGGTGTAGATAATGTTTACGCACAACATTCTCCACTTGTACGTGATATTCTTGATCAATTATTACGTGGAAAATTAAAAGATACATTATATCCAACAGCAGTATCAAAAGATCAAACAAGTTATAAAAGTCAAAATCAATCACAGCAACAACAACAGCAACAACAACAACAACAACAGCAGCAGATTGTCAAGTAAATATTAATCAATTGCATATTAAATTCTTCTACATGATCTCTTTTTCTCTAGACCAAGCGAAATAATTGTATTTATTATTGGCGGTGTCACTTACGAAGAATCCTTGAACGTAGTACAAATGAATAAATTAGGGGCAAAAATTATCTTAGGTGGTTCAACTGTGCATAATTTCCATACATTTATGGATGAAGTTTTAGCTGGTTATATGCCCTCATCGACTGATCCTAATTCTAGACGGCGTTAATCGAGCATATGATTTTCTTTTTGGCATGTTAATATAAAATATGTATTATATCTTTCCGAACATAACAATATCCATAGAATCCTTAAAATAACAGGATCCAAAAGTGAAAGAATAGATTTTTTGTGATGTTTGACTGATCAAATAACTCATTCATGTTTTGTAAACACAATGGAATAATGAGGTAAACATTCGTTGTTGATCAACATAATACTTCTCTGTAATTTACTTTGTTTACATCAAGAACAGAATTTTAATGTTTTTTTCGCTTTTTGCGGATATCTCTTTCGGACTTTTTATGTTTTATTTTATTTTTTCATGTTACTACTAAAATTTAAACTTGCCTGAGTCATCATTTAATTGTTCGATTAGTACGTATACGTTAAACTTATAAACAGAAATATCGAAACGATCGAAAATTTAGTAGTTTTAACGTTACACTAGTCTTTAGATATTGCTCCCCGATGTGGTATATACTGCATTTATTTTTTTTGCTATGTTTAAGCTTTTATTTTGTTGTTGTACTAAATACCATTTGTAATTGTTGTATATTTATTTGTTGTGAATTATCGTTCCTTCTCTCATTTTAGTATAATAAAATTAAGTTATATTATTCCATAAAACGAGCGATCTTCATCATTAAAGTCATGGGATGGAATTTCGAGAAATAAATACAGAGGATATGAAATAGAGATATGAAACCCGATCTGAAGGTTGGGTACGAGTACAAGTTCCACTTTTTTAATTTACCCGAAAACTGGAAGGTTTTAGTGAAAAATGACAAAATTTTAATGAAAAGATACAAGTTTTTAGCTACAATACATGAAGTTTTAAAAGAGTTACTTGAGAACGTAATGATAACTTGACATTAGAGACCTGCTTCCAGTTGAACATTGTGTGGCGCAATTTAAAATATAGATAATAATTTCAATTTTGTATTAATCTTTGAAAAGTTAACTCTACTGAAATTTTCAGTTGAATTACTTATTTTAGAACAACTGCATTCACTAACGAGGCACAACAAATCTTCAGGTGCACAACTCCGTTTTTAATGATATTATGTCAGTTAATAGAGGAAACTGCGGAGATAAAAGCTCTGAAAGTAGGACCCATATCAGTACTTTCATAAGTTATAAATTTTTTTGTTCTAAAGGAGCACTGTGTAGTAACAGTAATAATTCTGTAACACAGTCAGGACAAAGAATTAAGAAGTGAAATTATCTTTTGTACTTTCACTAATAGTCTGCTAATATTACAGAAAATTGGAGCGTTATATTTTCCTAAATTCGCTTGCCATTGAACTTTTCTTCCTGAAGGAAAACAATGTTTTTCGAAACCGCACAATTTTCAATGATAATATTTCTCTTTTATTAGAGGTGATATAGCGAATTTAGAAAGATATAACATTCAGATTTTCTGGAATATTAGCAGACTATTAGCGAAAAGTCACTCGCCTGTAATGCGATGCCCTCTGCTAAATAAATAGGTAAATAAAAAGACATAAACTTTGTTTGACGATTATTATTATCACCTAATTAAACGTTAGTGATTTAACTGCTACGTAAATTTTATGATATACAAGAATGTTTTTTTGGTGATTGATTTCATCAGTAAATTGAACCAGCATAGGTTTCAGATTATCTTTCAATCGAAAATAGTGTACATGATTCTCAAAATGTGGTACTTACCTACTCAAACTTACATGATGAAACGTAAATAAAGCTCTCTAAGAGAAAACATTTTTTACATGGTAAAAGCACAAGACTGTAAAAGAGACAGTTTAGATACAAATAAGACAAACCATAACCAGACTTACACCATTATAAAAATAAAGATAAGCAGTTTAAAAATTCAGACAATAAAGTCTTATATGTGATGTCTGTATAAGAATCTGACAAAAAAACTTTAACTAAACTCTAGATTAACACCATAAAAATGGACTGATTACAGAAAAGAGATCTGTAACAGTGAGAAACTTGACATACATCGGAGTAAATGTTTAATAATTTTTCTGATTATACGTTTAGAAATCTCAATTTCGTTTCCATCTCCAGATCGTATTCTTTTCCATATTTTTCTCGTTCAGATGCATAGTAGATTATATCGGCCGTTAAAATATAGTCTCAACTTCATACACAATGTACTCATTATATAGTCAATAAACTCAGACAAATCTCCATATAGTGGATCATATTTATCGCTTTTACTGTTCCTTTCTATTAGCATAGCTCGTGTTCTTCTAATGTTCGTGTTTTCTTGTACATACCTGAGTAAAATAATTATATAGGGTTGTTGTAATGTACATATGTGTTGATTACAAAATATGCAAGGAAAGTTTGATTAAACTTCTATCAATTCCGCACATCTGTTATGGGAATCCTGTCCTTGAGTACTTAAAGTTTCCTGAGAGACCGAGAATAAGGTTCCAAGTCCCTTACAAGTTTCATTTCCTAAGGGACTTGGAGATTCTTAAATTAAAATTCTAAAAATTCTTCATAGTTAATCTCAATAAGAATGCGCAACAAAATCCGTTAAGCGCATTCTTATTGAGCAGTGATAAGTATACATGTGTTGTGGAGAAAGTATAGAATTAGCAAATCTGTAGATTCGCCAGTGATTCTATAGATTCCCTAATCAGTACTAAGAAAGTATAGGATGGAGTTTTGAGTCTCGCTAGGGAATGAATAGAATTTTCAAATACGATATTTTTGACTAGTTTTTTCCCCAGAAAAATGACAACCCTATAAAAAAAATTCCAGTGCGGCACTGCCAGTACGCATCGGTGCGCATGGCATGCCATCGATCACTGGCACTGGCTGGCATCGGTGCGCACTCGTGCCCAGCAAGTGCCGAACCAGTGCCGATGTATTTCTGCCGAAAGAGTGCCGCACTGGCAAAAATCAGTGCCGCACGGGAGCTGCACTGGCAAAAATCGGTGCCACACTAATAATTTATTTAATCAATTTAATTAGTTCTTTATTATCGTTGTTTATGCTGAATTTTGTATTAGAGTGCGGCACTGATTAACACCACATCGACATGCCAAAACTATGCGACATTGCCTCGGCACTTCTCTTATGAGAAGGAAAGATGAAGTCAGAAAGACATTCGAAATATTAGAAGTAGACTGTAGCGTTAATATGGACAGAAATTGACAAAACAAAACTTCGGCACTGATGCGCACCAGTGCGAAATTTTTACATTCTTTTTGGCACTGGTGCGCATCGGTGCCCAGAAAAAAAATGATTCGGCACCAGTGCGCACCTTTGCACAACCAGTGCCGATAAAATATTTTTTTGTAGGGAAAGCTTTTAAATATGGTCATTTCTTCCTCCCTCTTTTCACTATATTTTACACTGATGATGTAGTTTTGAATATACCGAGTTCATCCATTATGTGCGGAGTGGCGACAACTTCCACAATTCCATGAAAATTCCAGAATTAGTCTGATCGCCACGCACTCTCACGCTGCAACGACCCCTCTCCCTACTCACAGAATTCCAATTCTAGTTCAACCAGAATCTAGCAGAATTCCAGCAAAATTGAGTAGATTCTGTTCGGATTCAACTAGAGTTACAGTTTTTACCAGTATGTGAGTAATGAGAGGGGGCGTTGCAGCGATCAGGCGAATTCTGGAATTCTCATGGAATTGTGGAAGTTGACATCACTTCGCACATAACGGATGAACCTGGTATATTCAATACTAAATCATGAGTGAAAAATATCGTGAAAAGAGTGAAAAATGACCATATCTAAAAGATTTGTCATTTTTCTGAGGAAAAACTAAGTCAGAAATATCGTATTTGAAAATTCTACTCATTCCCTAGCGCAGATAAAAAAAGAAAACATTCCTTCCTCAGTACCGATTAGGGAATCTATAGAATCACTGGCGAATTTACAGGATCGCTAATTCTGTACTTTCTCCTCAACATATAATTCACGAATAACAATAGATCTAGGTCTAAGCTGACAAACTACCTTTTTTTCTTCCAAACTTTTCAAAGAATTTCCCATACAGTTTCCAGCATCTCCTGATGGGTCGGGTCTACTTTAATCCTTATATTATTGCTTTCTACTGCACATATGGGGGAACAGTCCTAATAGACGATATTTTGTTTCAGTAGTCTGTGATGCTTTACATTTTTTTCTTTATTTGTTCGTTTTGATCAGCCAAGTATAGAAGAACACAAAATAATGCTTGCATTTCTAACTATCACATATATGCTCGAAAAAATATTTTCTCGAATGGAATTTGTTTAACTTAGTAGTTTTATTTTATAGAGAGCTAAATTTGGTGCATTTCATGAAAACGTTCTTTGAAATATAATTATAAATCCATTCCACTCCTCGGTGGTGACTTCCGAGCACCCAGAAATTCATATCAATCAAACACAAACAAATTCAAAACAAAGTTTTTTTCGACCAAAAATCCTTTTGCACAAAAATTTTGTCAAAAGTTTTTTTCTCGTAAATTAGACATTTTAATAGAGCCTTGTGGGGCAGTCCCGAATCCCGTCCCGTCTGTCCCACGGGACAAAAAGAAACTTTACGGGCTCGGGAAAAGAAAAAAATTTCACTGACTTGGCCTTACGGGGTCGGAACAAGGGGCAGAAATATGTTACTCTGTAAGTTTTGTCTTTTGATTGTAATTATGCTGCAACTTCAAATGTTTAATTCTTGTAATACTACCACTGCATCGAATAGTATATAAAATCATTTTTTATCGATGCAGTTTAGTGTGCTGATTTCAAATATGACTGAATAAAAGCCGAAATTGAATAAAATACGCGAAAAAAAATCTATTATGCAGTCTCGAAATGTTTTCGCTAATTTGCGCTAATACTGATGATAGAGAGTAAGTCGAAGAACATTGTGGCAAACTTTGATTGGATTTGGATCTAAGCTAAGGAGGGCCCATTAATTTTACTGAACATAACCGTTGGGAAAATTACTTTAGAAAAACTATTAATTTTTTATTCAGAGGTTATAAGTCTAAATTAAAAAGTTTGTTTAATAACCTCAATAGTGGACGGTGTGCAAATTCAGAATCTGTGTTGCTTTTGTACATTGGTCGGCTGAGTCTTATAAACAAAAATTAATTTCGTTAATGATAGCAACATTTTCAGGTTAATATTTGCTTAGCTTGTTTTTCACGTTCCTGAACGTTTGTAATAAAATTTTCTTTACCATCACATAGCACAAACTAAATTTATCACTGTTTCAGTCGAAGAAACGTTGATTTTCACTTTTTCACCTAATGTCCGCCTGAATGCGCACCGTGGGTTGTATCTTCGAAAAACGTAAATTATCGATGGTTTTTCGACATTTTTTTTTTTGTTTGATTTTGAGTTATTATTTAAATTGTGTTATTTATTTGTTTATACGAATAAAAAGAACAGCTATTATCCTGATATAGATACGATAGTCTAAGCATTATACAATGTTTGTAACAAAAGTAGCAAACTGGTAGAATTTTTAATTAATCACACAATGCTATCTATTATTTATGCTCAGCTAATTTTTAGAGCAGCAGAATCATCGAATAATTTTAGATATAATATTGAATAGCCCAGAATTGAGGAGGATGTTTTTAGCAGAACAGTTATATGAATAAGACGGATAAACAAGGCTTTTGTGTTTTATCCACGCTTTCTCAAACAACAAAATGTTGTTTCTTCATTTTTTATCAATGATGATTAGTATATATCGAGTCATTCATCCAAGACTATTGATTTTACGCCTAATTTTTCCTTCAATTTGGTTGTCCAACGCGAATAAGCCGCGAGACATATTGGAAAGCGATTTTGTATTGAATAACAAAACATGTAAAAAACTGACTCGACCCGACACGCAACAATGACTTGAAAAAATGCACTACTCATCATGCGAATCGATAATGTATATCAAGTATAATTAAAGACAATATTATTTATCATACTACAAAGGCAAGGAAAAATCTAGCATATAATCAAGTAAGTTTAATATGATACCAGTGGGTGTTTAATAACTCAAGTAAAGAAAAACTTATTTTTGCATCATCTTTTACATATAAACAAGGGATACAACGAGCACTATTGGGTTTTCTATTTCTAAATAGATCGTTCTTCTGAAAATAGTTTCTCATACCAGTAAATCGTTTTTAGTTAAAATGAAACCTTCTCTAGGATATTATTTCCCTCTTCGGATTGGATATCTCCATAATATCATAATTTGTACGCCAAAACACTGAAGAGGCTTCTAAAACACTTCAAGTGTCCATGACAAGAGAATATGAGCACACGAGACTCCAGAATCTGTACAAATTCCACTTTTTACAGCTAACAACACATTTTTTCAAAACTTTTACCTCTATTACTTGGTAGCCAGATATCTGTGTGAATTCTGTAATGTCGACGTAACAGAATTATGAAATCGAATCTGAATAACCTTTGTCTCACATATCCTTCGTTAAACCCCATTCAACATGTTAAGGGGATAGAGATTGTGTTAAAAAAACTAATTATAACGTATTTAGTATAAATAATAATTATTTTTCTTTTACATATTCGAGCAATAAACATGACTACGGCGAAAGGACTTTTATTCTTTCTCGTCACAATGCTGATATTGGCGATGGCCAATTCCTATTTACAGCCCTCCCCTTCAGTAAGTTGTAATTCTTCTGTGTTTATTCCTAATTTAATATTTTAATATTATTTTAGCACTCATCAGAATTGAAAGAACGTTTGGTAGAATTGCTTTTGTCAGCACGACGCGAACAATTGGATAATCAGATGAATTTCGCCAGACGTAATGAAAACAATGAAGTTGACAAGTCATCTTTACAAAGTGAGATCACACTATTTTACACAAATTTAGGATTTGTGAATGTTATTTACTTTTAACAGCCCTTCGTGAACAAGCGGAAAAGTGGAAGGATTCCGCTAAACGTTTTGACAAAGATGAAGTTGATAAGTCATACTTACAAAGTGAGTATCACACTACCTGAAGCATATTTAAGACTTGTGAATGCTATTTACTTTTAACAGCGCTTCGCGAAGAATTGGAAAAGAGGATGGATTCCGCTAAACGTTTTGACAAAGATGAAGCTGATAAGTCACACTTACAAAGTGAGTATCACACTACCTGAAGCATATTTAAGACTTGTGAATGTTATTCACTTTTAACAGCCCTTCGTGAACAAGCGGAAAAGTGGAAGGATTCCGCTAAACGTTTTGACAAAGATGAAGTTGATAAGTCATACTTACAAAGTGAGTATCACACTACCTGAAGCATATTTAAGACTTGTGAATGTTATTTACTTTTAACAGCGCTTCGTGAAGAATTGGAAAAGAGGATGGATTCCGCTAAACGTTTTGACAAAGATGAAGTTGATAAGTCATACTTACAAAGTGAGTATCACACTACCTGAAGCATATTTAAGACTTATGGATGTTATTTACTTTTAACAGCCCTTCGTGAACAATTAGTTGGGAGAATTAATTCTGATCGACGGGACTACTATAATCAAGTCGAACAAAGCCGAGGTATGTATTGCAACATCGGATAATAACAGTTACATCAACTATGTTCCAGTTGAGTATTGTTGCTAATTTCTATCAAATTAAAAGGTTTTCGTTAATTGAATAATTAATAAAAGCTTAAGGTATTGATAAAATAATAACTGACAAATTTTTACGCTTGATGTAGCAGTATTAGAGTATCATTCTTGTCAGGGATGAATCTCTGCACCTTAAATTGGTTCTTCTTATTCTAATATTATGTCACGATTGTTTTAGCTCAACGAAAAATTGAAAGTGATTTGCCTTCATTTGTGCCGCTATAAATGATACTACAGCTACGATACACACATTCAAGTGGTAAAAATCTCCGATATTATTCATATAATGATCTAACTAATATTTATTTCTTGTTATATCCCATGCGACTTATAAGTTAACTTTATTGTGAAGTATTTTTCTAAATTTATTTATTCTCGTTATTTTATGATGAAATACAGACAATGTCTATAAATACAGTTTCAGTTTATTTTTCAATTTAATAAAAGTGATATGGTATAATACATTGATTTTATCCTTGAAACACAAGCCAATATTTATATTTCTCAACTTAGATACGCTGCAAAGCTGATGTATACTCTTTCTGAGCAGGTCTCATTTTAATTAAAATGGTAAATCAGCTCACATTTTGTAATTTTTACGTCGTCCGTTTTCTTTTCATATACTCTTCTGAGACAGCGATAACCAATCTCCATTATTACGTTTCGCATTTCGGAGCTCTTTTCAACGAGCGTCGTAGAGTTTCGGAACGTAATCAATTATTTCTGTGCCACCCGATATATTTCATCGGATAAAGTCCCGGAGATCGAGAACAACCATCTTTTCTACGCTTACGAAAGTATATTAAAACCTCTCTATGTAGGTGTCTGTTTAAAGTGGCAACCCATACAGTGAAAATCAGGAGAATATCTCCTATTACACGCAATTAATCAGCCGATTAATCGTAAACTTAATTATGATTTCAATAAAAATCATCGATTAATCGAAATTTATCGGCGATTTTTTAATGACTCATAATATGAATCCCTATGATTTGTAAGAAGCTAGCCGATTTTTGCAACATGACATCACCTCACTGTACGTACGTTTAAGTCCAACAGAGGAAACGGTTCCGTTGGCTTGTCACTAACCTCTACAGGGTGCCCCAACAGTCACTACCCAATAAAAATTTTTAATAAATCTGCCATTTCTTAACCAAACTTCAAGGTTGTTTTTTTGTTTGATAGTGAAACGTTCCAGGTTTTATTTCATACGGTCGGAAACTTTTGTGTAAAAGAAGATCGGTACGGAAAAATAATACAACTTACAACATATTTTCTGTGTAACTACTTGTAATAGTTGTAAAGATTATTGAGCATGACGTAATTAAATGGAATCTTTGTCAGAATCGCACTACGAGCTAGAGAGCTTCGGTTTTCGCCATTCGAACGAGGAGACTTGAAGGCATATTTCCATAACCAACATTGTTTCCAGAACAGTTTTCTCTTCTGGAAACAATGTTGGTTATGGAAATATGCCTTCAAGTCTCCTCGTTCGAATGGCAAAAACCGGATTTCTAGCTCTTTTCTATCAAAAGTTTTTCAAAAAACATGCAAGTGCATTGTATTTTGGCGCCGATAATAGTTAACTTTATTTGAAAAATATTTTTATTACTTTTTTGCACTTTTCCAGATGCTGGTATGGAATAATAATGGCTAAAGAAATCCACACCAACTGATCATTTTTAAGAAAAGCAAATAATTATTTCGTTATGTGAAAGCCGTCATCATCTACTTTATTTTAATATTAAAAATTATTTATGTTCTTTTCAAAAAGTTTTGTGGTAAATAATTTATTAAAAAAGAGTCCCAAAATATCAGAATTTTAGTATAATAAACCAAACATTTTTTCAAATATTAACAAGAGCTTCCAGTCATATGAAATAATACTTTATGAATGTTTCTCTATCAAACAAGAAAACAATGTTGAAGTTTGATTAAGAAACGGCGAAGTTATTAAAATTTTTTATTGGGTAGTGGCTTTTGGGACACCCTGGATAAGGTGGATGCCGCTCTATTCTTGCTAGTGATCATTGTCTTTCAGTTGCCATCCAGCAAATGAGATCTCTCTAATGTGAATATCAGATCTTTTACATAGTCTATAGACTGCTGAGAAAAACGTCTTTCAGTTCAATTCTTTAACGTCTGCATTAAAAAATGCAATTGATTGCGCAAGTCACCGAAAGCTGGCATTGTTTGGAGAATCATAAAGTAAATTTAGATATCTTGAAACAGCAACATAATAAGTGGGTGGACGTGGATGGGGGCAATCTGCGTCCTACTTTCTAAGATCATTTGTATTTCCTCCAGCAAAACGTTTTTTCAAATATGAAATTAGCATTCTACAAAAAGCAAACCCCTGAACCATTTGGATAAATCAGTAATTGGTATAAACTGTACAAGAATTTGATGAATGACAACCTCAGCGGTTAATGTATAAAGAGCACACTATTTATCTTATCACTTGACCCCAGAAGATATAAATGCTTGAAACATCCACCACATTTGAATTCAAATTCGATCAACTTGTCATCAATAAAAACATTAGAAAGTTGTGGCCATTACAATGTGAAAATGTGCGTCAAAAACTTTCTTTATTCCACCCTGCAGGGCCCTGCGCTGAAGGTCGGGGTACGCCCCTGGTACCAACAGGATAGATTACGACCTTTTCTTATGTCGCTCAATGTTGAACCATTTTCTAGTCCTTGATGGCTGGTCTGGAAGATTCCTGATCTATTGAAATAATTGCTGTTAGTTATCAGCATTTTAATTGTATAGACATGTATCATTCAGTTCAGAGGGGCGATATCGGTATTTGATTCGTGTATTAAGTTAATTTCCTGGTTTTCTAGAAATTCTCACTTTTACAAAAGACTAAGACCTAATTGAAAAATCGGTGTCGGTCATCCCATGTAGTTAGGTGTCTAGTTTAAAATAAAACAAACCCGAACTCTCTAGCCCGAAGTATATTAAAAAATCTTGAGAAATACTTCAGGTGTAACGCCCATGTAGAGAAAACAGTGTATTAACCCAGGAAGAAATTTTGGACCCTCGCAGGTCCTTCGCAGGCATTAAAATTTTTTTTTCCGCCTTTAAGGCGTTAAAAACCTTCTTTTGACACATTTT